AAAGCACGGTTATCCACTAGGTTGGGTGCCAGGTTACAAGTCCAAGGGAAAACAACAAACAGTTGCGGCCACTGCCAACAATGAAACCAACTTCACCTCTGAGCAGCTCTAGAAACTGATCTCCCTCCTTCAAGTCAGATGGGGCAGAATTAGTCTACTTCCACGTATGCAGCTGCCTCTCTTGTTCCAAAATTCAACAAGGCGGAATCTCCAAATCCTAATGAAGGCAAGTGTTCTACTATCACTCACATTAACTCTATTAATTTACATTCCTCTACATGGATTTTGGATTCCGGGGCAACAGATCATATAGTATGTCCACTGAAATTATTTGATAGTTATCATACGGTTGAAGGTACAGTGGTTAATCTACCTAATGGGAAGCATGTTAGTGTTGAGCATGTGGGAGACATAAGATTCGGTGATGTCATATGCTTAAAAAGTGCTTTGCACATTCCATCCTTTAAATTCAACATCATATATGTTAGCAGATTGTTCCAAAGCTCACATTATATGCTAACGTTTACATCTGATGAGTGTCTCTTTCAGGGGAGTCATGGGAAGACAGTTGGTTTTGCTAAACAGGAAAATGGCTTATACTTGCTGCTTGAACAACCAGAAACTTGCATTAATTCCTGTAACCGCTTTGCTATGCAAGGTAGTGTTGAAATCCCCATTCCTGTTGAGGAGCAGATTATTAATCACAATGATGCAAAATTATTAGAGGAACCGGTCATGATTCCCGGTCACTCTCATGCCATTATTCAGATTATTGAATCTGTGGAAAGTCTTGGTGGAATTCCAGCCTTAGTTAAAAAACTTGTAATGGAGACTAATGAAGTTACAGTTAGAAATTTTATTGATAAAGAGGAACGAGCTACAGTTCAAGCTACGGTCCAAGAAGATCTTGCAGTCAATAATCAACAAGTCACCCCACTTTCGGTTACTGTATCTCATTTTCCAGCCAAAGAAATTCCTGAACATCAAAATTCTTTGGTTGAAGCAGACATTCAATCTTCTAAAAACTTAATGGATACTCAAGAAGAAAAACCGACTCCATCAACAAAAGAAGGAAAGTTGTCATATCTGAATCATCTGAGACCAGTGATGATAATGATCTTGACATGGAAAATCAAGCCGAGGAAGGACAAATGCAGTTGATTACAAGTTCCATTCATCAGAAACATGCAGAATTTGATAAACGAATTCTTGATCTGAAGAAAAATTTGACTAAAAGAAATAGGGAAGATGAAGAAAGATTGTTGAGCTCTATATTTCTCAAAGTGGATGAATGTCAGGAAGAAATCAACACAAAGATAGCAAAGGTGATATAACTCAAAGGTGATATTGCTAGAGATGCACATGAGAATTTATTCAATCAAATGAGAAGTCTGAACAATCAACAAAAGAATATCACCAAGGTTCTGCAATATTCTGCTAAAAAGAATGAGAAAAAGTGAGATGAAAAATTTTCAGAGTTGTTGGATGCACTGGAAGCTAATAGATAAAGAGCAGACAGATTCACAATTGAACAGAATTGAACAAGGGGATACTAAATGTTATTCATCAGCAACAGAACCAGATTAATGATCTCCACAATGAATTGTCAGCCGTGAACACCATGGTAGACAAAGTTGATGACAATGTTGAGCTTCTCCTTGATTATGCCAAAAAGGGGGAAGATAGGAGTCATTTGGCTCTCGGAACCTCATTTGGTCAAGGCAACACGGCAAGAAGAGGAAGAGGAAGAGGAAGATCCGGCGTTCCTAGTTTTTCTCAATTTACAGGTACTACAGGTCCAAAATTCGGAGTTATTGATTATTTTAGGAATGAAAGACCGACGTACACTCTTAATGATACTCCACCTATCACGATGAACAAAAGTGATCAAGTGAAGAAACCAGAAGATGAATCAAGAAGGGAACTTGAAGCCTCAAGAAGGAAGATAGTTTCTATTGAGCACATGATGCATGAGTTGAAGAAGTATACAGGTCATGAAGGCAAGCAGTTAGATGGTGGAAGGAATCTTACAGAATGCATAAAATGGTATGTTGCAGGTGTGTTACCAGGAGAGACCATCGAAGAAGCCTATGGTTACTATATTGCAGGATGTGTTTCTGACAAGTACATGAGTGCACAATGTGGCAACAATTTCAGAGCACTAAGGGAGCAGATCAATCAGAAGTTAGATGAAGAAGCCAAAGGAAAAAGGAAGATATGATCTGGGTAATGTAATCTGTTTTGAACCTAACTCTTAAAATATCTTTTGAACTTATGTTGATATTTTGACTCTTAATCTATGTGTAATATTATAACTAGTTGTTTGTGTTTTAAAGAAATGATTTTGGACCTAGCATGTATCTATCGCATATTTGAGTATATTTTCAAAAATAAATTCAAGATCAGTCTCAAATGCATTTAGGAATTAATGTCTAAAAACAATTCTTCTGGGTTATATTTTGATGTTAAACTCATCTGAGGCTAGCCAAATAAAATAAATATTCAAGTACATTTTTTTTAAGACTAAGCCAAATGACTGAGTATAGGTTTTGACATCATCAAAAAGGGGAAAATTGTTAGGAATAAATTGTAATTAGATTTTGATGAGCCAAATGTATTGTTAGGATAATAAATTTAGTCTCTTATTTATTTATTTTATTATGAGCCATATTCAACAAGTCCAGACAAATTATTCTTGAAGAAAAGAAGATGATGCTACATGAAATTATGCAAGGAAATATTAATTTGAGCTATTGCCTCAAATTAATTCAAGAAGAATTTATGCATTAAAAGTTATATATTTTCTTGGGGAGAAGATGCAAGTTAATGGATTACAATGATGGAGACTACATTTTTCTTAAATTATGAACAAGATGCTATAATATTTTATGGAGGAATGTCACGCCAATTTGGAGAGAAGGAAGGGGTAACACTTTCTAAATCAAAGAAGAGGTCACACTATTCTTGAAGAAAGAAGATGTCACACTTTTGGAGGCTAAGGATTGCTTCTAAGTTCCACGTGTGAAGGTGAAAAGGAAAATGGAACAAAATATTTAACAAAATCTCAAGTGGCTTAGTTGGTAGAAGAACTTTGTAAGGAAATTATTACCAAAGGTATAGGGTTTAAATCTTCTTAATAACATATTTTTTATGCTTAGGAGGAGGCTCCAAGAGGTCACCTTTTCAACTACCAAGTGAAGAAATATCAACTTAAGAATTCTTATGAAGATTAGAGACAAGCTACACTTTTAGCTACTTTATTTTAAGATTATCCTGACATCAGAAAAAGCAATTGAAGCAAATTTCAACATGTCAAATCTGATCAAGATTTGCAATTCAAAATTTGAAATTGTTGTCTCAAACGGACAATTTTAAAAATTTATCTATAAATAGAGATGAAGACCAAGAGAAGACGGAAGCCATTTTTTTTTTTTGAGAATACACAAGCAATATACTACACGAGCAGGGAGCATCATTTGAATTATCCATTTTCCTTGAGCCAATCTCGTAGCATTCTTCAAGTCTTGTAAAAAGAATATATATATATATATATATATATATATATATATATATATATATATATATTTGTAAAGCAATTCTCTACTGTGTGTAGAAAGAGGGATAGTAGCAAGGAGTGTGAAACTCTATTGAGTGTAGCTTTGTGCGAGACACTCGGAGAAACTAAGTGTAGCTTTGTGCGAGACACTTGGTTGGTGTAGGAGTATAGCTTTGTGCGATATACTCGGGATTGAGTGTAGCTTTGTGCAAGATACTCGAGAAGTGCTTGGGTAGCACTAGATTCACTTTTTGTAACTATGTGAAGAAAATAGTGAATTTTCTCCTAGGCGAAAAAGGGGAAAAGTGGAGTAGGAGGATTACGGCACCTCCGAACAACTCTAAATTGCCTCTCTCATTTACTTACTGCTTTCATTTATTATTGATTGTGAACTAACCCATTTTAATTGTTACTATATATATATATATATATATATATATATATATATATATATATATATATATATATATATATTCACTATCTGCATTTGTTATATTACGCGTATATTCACTATCTGCATGCAAAATTATTTTTTGTCTAATTCACATTTGCTTTGCATATTCATTATTTCAGTAACCCATTGTGCACACTAGTACAAAAAAAGCTTTTAGAGTCTCCCATAAAACACTTTCCGAGTCACTTGTATAGGTGACTTGAATCTTGGAGACTGTGAAAGTCCTCCGCTTTCCGAGTCACCCGTAAAGGGTGACTCGAAAAGCGGAGGATGTTTTTTTTTTTTAATTTTTTAATACAGAATATCCGAGGCACCTGCTCCGCTGCTGGTGCCTCGGATTCTCTTTATTATTATAATAATATTGCTTTTCCGATGCACCTCTGACATGATGGGTGCCTCGGATTCTCTTTATTATTATAATAATATTGCTTTTCCGCGACACCTCTGACATGATGGGTGCCGCGAAAAGTTTTTATATTTTTTTATTACTTTCCGCGTCACCCTACTCCGAGAGGGTGACGCGGTTTTATATATATATATATATATATATATATATATATATATATATATATATATATATATATATATATATATATATATAATATTTTATTTAAAAATTGAATATTACCTAATTTTAATGATTCAACCTGTACAGAATTTTCTAAATTCACCAAATGCACACAAAAATTTATCAAAAAAGAATAACAATTAACTAAACTATCTATAAATATTCAACAGTAATTAAATTTTAATCAACTAATAATTAACACTAATAACTATAAACCCAAATACAACAATATATATAATTCACGAGTAATAATCAACACAATAAAATACCATAATACACTTATAATATCAAAACAATAAAATACCACAATACACTTACAATATCAACACAATAAAATACCACAATACACTTATAATATCAACACAATATATAATAACAATCAACACTACATTCAAACATAAACTAAGCATAAGTTAATGTTTAAACTAAATAAATTTACACACACTCTTCTAGAAAATATTCTGCCTACAACTCTCGAACTTCATCTATGTCGTTCAAGGAGTAGGGTGCTTCATTATCAAATATCTACATAATAATTTTAATTATTCAAATTAGTAAACATATTAATTAATAAATTATAATTCAAATATACATATAGTTGTATTTAAATTACTTACCCCATGTAGACAATCAACCTTGAATACTTAGTAACGATCTCTAACATGTATCTTAGTACATAATATCCACATTCAGTGCCTCCCGGCTGTTGTGGACACTACAAAATACAAACAAAGGTTAATATCATATTAATAAATAAAAACAAAGGTTAATATCATATTAAAACTTTAACTTTAACTTCATACTTTGCATTGCTTCCAATCAATCGCTTTAGTTCTTCCTCCAATTGTAGAAAGAGATCGAAATGCCCTATATTAGTAATAAACATTTATATCGATGTATAAATAACATATAATATCATTTAAAATATATACATAGTATTTGTGGTAAGATTTTACTTACATATTCAAATAAATTTTGACTTCAAAGTGCCTTGTATTTTTCAAAGGATCAAACACATATACCGTTTTTGAAGATGCACAAATCACAAGCAATATCCAATGATTACTACATTTACAAAACATATATATATATATATATATATATATATATATATATATATATATATATTAAAATTCTAATATCAAACACTTCAAATAAAGTTATTAAGTTATATAAATTAGTTAAGTAAAATACTTACTTTTCATGATATGGTGCCAAAATGAAATGCTGATCCTTGTGTTCCTCCATAACCTTAATGAAATGTGATGTAACAGAAGAGGAATTTAAGTGAACCATATCTGCTGAAATTTGTGTTGGACATGCAAACCCGATAGATGTCACTCCAAACTGCTTACCCCGCTTATTCAAAAACCTGAAAAATAACAACTAAGAAATTTCAATAAACTTACAAAAACAAATGTATATAAAACACATGAACAATTTAAAACTTACATCATAAACACATGTATAATCACTACAAGAAAAATGCACATAGACAACGGTTATTAACCGTTGTCGTAGGGGTATAATTTCTGTTGTTGAAGCCGGTGTTGTTGTAAGTCCCGCGCATAGACAACGGTTTTTTAACCGTTGTCTTTTCTAGAAACGACAACGGTTTTTTAACCGTTGTCTATTAAGTGTTGTTGAAGCTGGTATTGTTGTAAGTCACGCACATAGACAACGGTTAATAACCGTTGTCTTTTCTAGCAACGACAACGGTTTTTTAACCGTTGTCTATTTAGTGTTGTTGAAACCGGTGTTGTTAAAAATCACGCACATAGACAACGGTTAATAACCGTTGTCTTTTCTAGAAACAACAACGGTTTTTTAACCGTTGTCTATTAAGTGTTGTTGAAACCGGTGTTGTTAAAAGTCACGCACATAGACAACGGTTATTAACCGTTGTCTTTTCTACCAACGACAACAGTTTTTTAACCGTTGTCTATTAAGTGTTGTTGAAACCAGTGTTGTTAAAAGTCACGCACATAGACAACGGTTATTAACCGTTGTCTTTTCTACCAACGACAACGGTTTTTTAACCGTTGTCTATTAAGTGTTGTTGAAACCGGTGTTGTTAAAAGTCACGCACATAAACAACGGTTATTAACCGTTGTCTTTTCTACCAACGACAACGGTTTTTTAACCGTTGTCTATTAAGCATTGTTGAAACCAGTGTTGTTAAAAGTCACGTACTTAGACAACGGTTTTTAACTGTTGTCTTTTCTTTAAAAGACAACAGTTATAAACTGTTATCTATTATGTGTTGTTGAAACCACTGTTGTTAAAAGTCACGCCCATAAACTGTTGTCTTTTGTAGAAAAGACAACAGTTTCAAACTGTTGTCTATTGTAACCGTTTTTAACATGCTTAAATTTTAATCATATAAAAAATCAATTTATCCATTCACCATGGCCAAGTGTAGTTACATAATTTTGCACAAGCTAAGGTTCAAAATACAAAAGAACTAATTAACAAGTCTAAATACTTCCATGACCAATTCAAATCGAATCATATATCATCCAAGTCATAATACTACAAAAAACAATTTCACGAACCAAATCTAAATGATCACAACGTTCTAATGATCAAATCATACCTACTCCCTATTGATGCATTAAAAATGGATGCACTGCAGCAATTTAACCTGGTGGAATGAAGGTTGCCATCCCAAGTAAAGATGAAGGAGCAAGTGGAACGCCATGGAGATCACTCTGGCATTTAAAAGAAAAGATATAGTTATGCAAGCACTTTCAAGTAAAATATAAAATCAAAGGAAGAGTTCATAAGAAGTTCTACTTGAGTTGACACATTCCCAATAAAAGTAAATGATGAAGCATTTTCGGCATTTCCATTTGGTATGTGTCCAGAGTTTCCACTAGAGGCATCATTATTACCATTCTCATTAAGTTTGTTGCCATTGTTCTGCCCATACTGGGAAGTATCTTTTGAAGATTCCTTTGAGACTTGAGAACTATCAGTTGAAGTACCATTCCTTTCTCTTGCCTCAGCCAGTTCTATTTGGAGTTGTTGCATATGTAAATGTAAGCACTTCCTCTCGCCAAACTAGAGAAAAATCTAATTAATCACCAACTAGTATTAACTACTTAATAAAAATTTAGTTTGAAAGGGGCAAACAATGAACAGACATTGTCACAGAAGTCAATGCAATTTTGAAAAATCATTCCTTTAGAATAAACCTATCAACTCTAAGTCATTCAAAATAAAACTTTAAAAAAAAATAAAAAAAATGCTAAGCAACTTGTCTCTTACAACCAAGCCAAAGCTGATTATATTGTTGAGCTCGTTCACGTAGTTCAGCTTGTTGCAAGGAATCGATCTCCTGAGCACGAGTCAACAAAGCATGGGGCTCCCTCATTTGTTCGTCTTTGTAAAGAATGGTTTCCTTTGCAATTCTGTTCTGAAGATTGAAGAATATTCAATTTGTCAGACTGCAAAACTATAGTCAGCAGCTAATGTTGCACAAGTACTTAAATATTTTAAATTATAAAAGTTTCAAATGCATTCCATAATGTAGTTTCTCCATGTTACCATACTACAAAGCAATGAAAGTATTTTCATAAATTATGGTACATATGAATTGACCTATTCCTGCAATTCCATAAACTGATGTTCTTTCTCTTGAATATGCTCCTAAAGTTCATGAAGTTGTTTAATATGCTGAGCTCTTTCAGCTTCAGAGTTGTCACTCTCTCTCCTGGAAATTTATGAACTTCAGTAACAAATATAATAAATAAAGCAAAAAATATCTCAGTTTTCTAACAATTTAAAGCTTTTAGTTGAGGTAGGGCACAAAATTCGACAGTAAGATCATATAATCACCAATCACCCCAAGAAACCATTTTAAGTTAGGTGACTGTTATCATTACTGCTACATTCAAGTGCATGACCACTGGTTCAACATTGAAAGATCCTGGCAGTAGAAATCATTTATTATTTATATATAAAATGTAGTCAACTTGATGTCCAATACAAGATAAAAGGAAACTAGAGACAGGGAATATGCATAATAATAAATAAATAAAAAAACTCAACCTAGGTAATTTAGACCACAAGCAAAATAACACAAACTAGTTGAATTCAGATTTCAGACATTTGATAAAACCAATCATACGTGTAGGTTCTCAAAACATTACCTCTGTCATATTAAGTTAAACCTGCCTCTGGATATTTTAGAGCTTTCATACTGCCTTTATATTTTTGTTAACTACAAACCTCATCTTTAAAAAAAGAAGATGAAGAAGCTTATAAAAAAGTTGTGAAGGAAATCTGTCTATCAGCTAGGATACCGGTTGATAGCATTCAACTTCATTGCATTCAACCACTACAGCTTGGTGTGACCATAACAAGAAATCTAATTTCCTGAAACATGAGATGTAAAAATCATTATAACACTAAGCCAGCCTTACCAGATTTGATATAGAAGAAAAAATAATTGGGACAAAGAATAGATTATGAACAAAGAACATATGTTTTAGTACAAAGCAGAAATAATTGATACAACTATCTTCCCTTTACTGTTTCCCTATCATTTATAGAGTATTCAAATTGAGACAACTATCTTTTAAAATCCTATGTTTAAAAGAAGACAAAACAGGTTATAATATTGCTCCCCAACAAAATAACCATGCAAATCATTAGCGCAAGTGTAAGGATCTAGTTAAAACATTTTAAACATTGCATGTAGATGCAGAGCAGGGGATGAAGTTGAGTTCCAACATCTTCAGAAAATATTTGTAATAATCAAAATATAAGGTCAAGGATATTAAGTACCAGAGTACAAACTCAAGACAAGAAGCCAAAGCATACTGTTTTGCCCCAAATCTCACTCTTTCTCTCTCTCAATATTTTTAAAGGACACATCATCACACTTGATTCAAGTGTACAAGCCTAGACTGATATGTGTTAAGTTTTATCTTAACAATAACTAGATTAGTCAATTACCTTCCAGAATCCACCCCACCAAAACCTGCAAATTTTCAAAGAAATGAAGATAATTTAGGGAAATCTTCAAGCATGTATTCATCTTATACCGGTTACATATATTAAATACTGTATATACTTGGTTGAGGCCATTGATCAACCTCTCCACTGACTACTTTATCAAGATTATACAGTAGGATAATATAAAGTTCATACCACATTGAGGGTATCCTTCTTTTTTGTTGAGAAACTGCAAGGTGTTTAAGCACGATCGTATATCCCATTCTGGTAAAAAGTCAGAAACTGCATCCTCTGAATTGAAAGTAATAAACCCAAACCCCCGCAGCCTAAGAGTCACATACATTTGAAAAATCCAACAATTAACCTAGGGTTCAAGAACATTCATAAGTTTCAAATATGAAAAATTGAACAATAGAATTCATACTAACCTAAGGTTGAAGACTAACTTGTACCATGTTGATGGAGGAAAGTGGCAACGTTGGCCGGCCGGGGAGGGAAGATGCGACGGCTGGCAGAGGAAGGAGAATACAACGAGGGTGAGACGGCAGCGGATGTGTGAGACGGAGCGGTGGCGATGAATCTAGACGGCAGCAGAGGTGTGAGGTCTGAGGCGTGAGTGTATGTCGTGTACAAGAGACTGATAGCGAAACTAAAAAAATTTGCTAAGTGTAGGAGGGAAACTAAACAATTTTGCTAAGTATAGGAGGGAAACTAAAAAATTTTGTCAAATGTACAGGAGGGAAACTAAAAAATTTGCTAAGTGTACAGCTGAGGTTTATTATTATTATTAAGGGAAAATGACACTTTTTACCCCTGAGTTATATACTTATAGCACTTTTTCCCCTCAATTATTTAGGTAAGCACATTAGCCCCCTCAGTTATTCTAAAAGTGGTGCTTTTTCCCCCTGATATATTCAATTGACATTTATACCCTTAAAGTAAATATTTTATTTATTTTACTTCTCCAACAAATTATTGCGTATACGTAGGGATGACCACGGTTCGGTTTGAATTGAACCGGATACTATAGCAATCGAATTAATAGTTTTCGGTTATAATTCAGATCTAGAATCCAATATTTAAATGTCAATCTATTAAAATTATGTATCAAAAAAATTGAATCTTGAACCGTGAACCGGCGGTTCTGGATCCGATTCGCGATTTTAAACCATCTTTATTTTAAATTTTTATTTTTTATTTTAAAATAGTATAAATTCAACAATATATGTATTTTATTTTTTCAGTTCGGAACATGAACCGTCCGTTCTGGTTCACGATTTTAATAAACTCTAAATATCGAATTTCGATTCTAAATTGTAATTGGAATATTTCGGTTTGGTTGTTATAGTGTTTGTTTGGTTTGAACCAAATTATGGTCATAATTTGTTGGAGAAAAAAAAATAAATTAAATATTTAATTGAAGGGTAAATATGTCCATTTAACATTTCAGGGGGGAAAACAGCCACTTCAATAATTTAGGGGGAAAAAATGCTATAGGTATATAACTCAGGGGGAAAAAGTGTCATTTTCCCTATTATTAATTACTAGTATTTGCACCCGTGCGATGCACGGAATAGATTTGTTAAGAATATATGAATTTATATATAATTATTTAAATTAGAACATCAAATATTATATAGTGCAATTAAAGATATGGTTTAGATTATTTATATATTTTGATGATATCATTTCTTGAATTTGTGTAAATAATTGCTCAAATTAATAGCTAATGTCTAGATGTACGCATGCGGTGCTATAACTTAAAAGATTTTATTTATCATTGTTTAGTATTTTCATAAATTAGACAAATGTGCTCGTTCTCTAACAGCTCAGTTATAGAAATGAATTGCTATCCTTATTCATTTGTATGGAAGATATATTTTTTTGTCTAGATATATAACAATTTTTTCATTTAAAAAAAAAAACTTAATATCACCGATTATGTTTACACATTATTATAAGCAAAATGACGAAAGTTTTATTATTATTTTATAATAAGTCTTTATTTTTTTTTCAAATTAAATAAGTATATTCACGGTTTTATCGGGACCGGGTCCACCATAAACTGGGTATATAGGTATAGAACGGGAGTAAGAAAATAGTAGCTTTATTACCCGGGGTGCTAGGCCGAAAATAGTACCGGGTATATAGGTACAAAATGGGAGGTAAGAAAATAGTAACTTTATTACCCGGGGTGCTAGGCCTAAAGTAGAACATATAAAGCCCAAAGTACACGCCAAGGCTGTTGGGACCGGGTCACAATAATATTAGGACCAAAAATGAATGTTTTGATAAAAAAAAATAAAATTAAAAGTGAACTGTCACCTATATTGGGACCGGGTATATAGGTACAGAATGGGGGTAAGAAAAATAATAGCTTTATTACTTGGGGCACTAGGCCCAAAATAGTAACGAGTATATAGGTACAGAACGGGGGTTAGAAAATAGTAACTTTATTATCCGGTGCGCTAGGCCTAAAATAGTACTTATAAAGTCCCAGGTACAGGCCCAAATATATACCAAATGTTGCACCTTAGTAGAAAAGAGTTTGTGTTGCTTAGTTGGTTAAACTTTAATTGCTATGTTTGAAGTCATAGGTTTGACTCTTGTTGTTAATATCCTTGTTTATATTTTATACAACTGTTGTCTTTTATAAAATAATGATGCGCAAAGACAACATTTTTTTATAACTGTTGTCTTTGTAGTGTTGTGTATTCAAATATGCTTAAAGACAACATACCAAAGACAACGGTTAAATAAAACCGTTGTCTTAAACAAATAAAGAACGCACAACGACAACGGTTATATAAAACCGTTGTCATTGTAGTGTTGTGTATTCAAGTGCTATTAAAGACAACACATAAATGACAACGGTTAAATAAAACTGTTGTCTTTTATAAAATAATAATGCGCAAAGACAACGGTTTTAAAAAACCGTTGTCTTTGTAGTGTTGTGTATTCTAGTGCGCTTAAAGACAACACACCAACGACAACGGTTAAATAAAATCGTTGTCTTTTTTTAAAAAAAGAGCACACAAAGACAACGGTTTTAAAAAAACCGTTGTCTTTCTAGTGTTGTGTATTCTAGTGCGCTTAAAGACAACACACCAACGACAACGGTTAAAAAAATCGTTGTCTTTTAAAAAAAAAACGCACATAGACAACGGTTTTAAAAAACCGTTGTCGTTGTGGTGTTGTCTTTTCACAAAATGAACAAAGACAACACACTTATAACAACGGTTAAGTAAAAACCGTTGTCTTTGACAAAAGTGTTGCATCAAAGACAACGGTTTTGGATCAAACTGTTGTCTTTTATACAAAAGACAACACTTTTCTTAAAAACTGTTGTCTTTCTAGTGTTGTCTATGTGCATTTTTCTTGTAGTGAATTGAGACATCGAGGCAAGCCAATGTCAACAAATCATGTATATCCTCTATCATCACATAAACAGCATTCGCGTTTGCATGATGGAAAACAGCAGAATCCAATTCCACATCAAAATACTCTTTCTTAACATAAAATGATGACAACGCTTTGATAAGGTTCTTGCAATATGTCCCCAAAAACAAAAACACATTTTCACCAACAATTGGAGGTCGTATATAAGTAGCAGATTGGTCAGCACTTTGAACTGTCATTTGCATATTTTGCCTTTGTGAGCTTTTTCTGACATTTTCCTACCAAGAGAAGAGGACTGTGTTCGAATTAATTTACAATTCTAAAGAATACTCAATTTTGTATGCAACTATCGCTTAAGAAATCCCAAAATAACATGCAAACACTAGAGACAACCACAAACAGTGTTTTCAATTACCTAAGTCAGTTTGTTGTCCAATATAGAAAGAACGTGAACTAAATTGACCTTACATACCTCATCCAAAGTAACTAAGTGAGTAGGCCATTGTGCGTGACTCCCAACAATATCTTCCAAAGTGTAATGCTGCAATGTTGGCACGGGGAGATTTTATTGCTCTGCACCAACAAGCACGTCATTGACCATCACTTTGACATGGTTAGGTAAAAGTAGCGCATCGTTCACCATTGTCATCTCATCTGTAGTTGGGTAAACCATACCCTTTGCAACCTCGAATGGCTTACCATCAAAACCACATATTGCAAGGCTACACTTTTTTCGGCTCTATTGTTAAAATTGTATATGTTAGGTTTACATTTAAAAGAAAATAATATGTTGATTATAAAATAAATTTTAATATTACTTTAATTATGGTTACTGGATATACGTCAACAGAATGACAACTGCTTTTAGTCGGAGGTTGAAAACAAGGCGCATAAACACTTTGAGGAGTGATAATCGGAACTCCTGGTGGACCTTGGTGTGTGGCTGACATGTTATTCAACAATATATTCAATTGCTGGGTGAGCATGTCAATCTTGGGTTGCATCTCCAACAATGCATTTTGCTTGACCGTTTCCATCAGCACTTGGACTTCATCACTAGACATAAGCCCACTCCGTATGCCCTGTTTCTGCTCTGGTTTACCAAATACTTGTCGGATGCTGGAGTATGAACCAATTCCTCTTACCGAACCCGAACCCCGTTTATCCTCTGGTTTACCGAGAGCTGCAGACAATATGTCATGATATCTGTGTGGTTGAAATGTCCCTTGACCAACTTCATCACATTTTTCTATCTGTTTCAATCAATTAGATAAAACCAAATATTAGAATTTATATGAATATTATATGTTCTTATAACAATTTTAAAAAAATAGTACTTACAATTTTATGAAACACCTCCTGTGTTTTCTCATTCGGAATGTAATAATTTCCTTCTTCTAACTTCTTAACTCTTGCTCGTACCCAGTCAAAACTGCGATCATCTGATAGTAAAATTGAGCTAACAGAAGCACAAGAAGATTGTGAAGATAGAGGGTCTGACATCATCCACTCTGCTTTTTTGCCTGCATATCCAGCAGAACATAGAAAGTGTGGATGCACATTGCATGCCTGCCTTTGCTTTGCATTTTCACTTTTCTCCTATAATTTCAACGATAAGTTAATATGAATAAAACAATTGAACTAAAACACTTAAACTACTTATAATAATAAAATGAAATAAACATACCTTGAATTCCTCACTCTCGCGATTTGCAACAAATTCCAACCAACTCTCTTCACTCAAGAAATCATAGAGTTGTACGGGAGACTCATACTTTGGGTGCTTATTGACAATATGTTCACGCTTCAACCTACTCTTGAAGTCTCTCCATCTCTTTGATGCAATTTTCAATACAAAAGATTTCTGTGCATCATCTTGAAGGCCAAATTGTACCCGAATAACAACAACATAAACATAAGAAATAACAATAACATATATCAATAATTGACAATTAATATAAAGTTATTAGATACCTTAACATCTGTCCAAATTTAATTTTTAATCGTTGCATCTACGTCGGGCCAAGTGCCGCAGTTGATATTTACTCTATCGCGAACCAAAGCATCAATATAAGAGACAAATTTCTTTTTATACTCGCCAATTGGCCTATTAAACTCATCAAACTGAACTGATATTTCATCTTTTCCCTTTTTCTTTTTCAAGTTTTTGCATGAATTGGGACCTCTTCTTTTAGGTACAGTACAAGTTTCTTTAGGGGTTGGACTAGAGGTTTCTCTAGTATGATCAGTCATGGTTGTCTATATATACCTGCACATGCAAAAATATATATCAATAAACATGTTATATTGTATTTCAAGTCTAATAAAATACAAAACAAAAGATATTGTCAACAATTCATAAATCTTACAGCAAAACACTATGATGACCGATGGTCAACCCACAATCCTTCTTCATGACCACTACGCATGTAACTAATTTCAAGGTTATCATCCTCTATAGATAAAGACTGAATACCAATTGAAAATGGAGGAGTTTCATCAAAATGATCATACTTTTCTTCATCAACAACATCTCCAATACCAACAATACTTCTCTTGCCTTGTAAAACAATTGACCACTTTTTATCCACAGGATCAGAAACATAAAACACTTGTTTTGCTTGAGATGCAAGTATGAATGGTTCATCATGATAACCTAACCGACCAAAATCAACCAAAGTAAAACCCAATTCATCTATCTAAACGCCCCTTCTATTATCAACCCAATTACAACGAAATATAGGAATTTGAAATACATTGTAATTAAGTTCCAAAATCTCTTCAATCACACCATAGTAAGGCATAACAGCATCCATCGGTTTAGTATCTTTAGCACTTGAATAATCTTTTGATGTTGCTACTAATGTAACCCCACTATTTTGCACCACACTCTTTTCATCTTGTCGCTTGGTGTAAAATGTAAATCCATTTATGTCATAGCTTTCATAACAATTCACAAGTAATTTAGGACCATATGATAACCATTTGATGATTTCACTAACATTATTTGGCACTTGAGATAGCTCTTTCATCACAATATCATTGAACCGTCTCATGAAAGTGCGATTGTGTTCAATAGCCACCCATCTTTCACCCTTCGTAGGATTTTGTTGTCTTATCATAGACATGTGTTGCTCCAAGTACGGATGAACCTCAGTAAGGTGTTCCAATACGAGATGATGTGCCTTATCTCGTAACTTAGTAGGTGGAACAAAGTGTCTAAATCCAATAGTACCTTTCCCACTGAGTCTTCCTTCACGAATAGGCTTGGGATTACCAATAGACTCAACATTAGCTAAATAATCAGTACCAAACTCAACTGCCTCTTCAGAACCATAACCTTCAATTATACTTCCTTCAGGTCGATACCTATTACTCACATATCCTTTCAATATTCCCATGTATCTTTCAAATGGATACATATATCTCATAAAAACCAGACCAGTCATCTTTATTTCCCTTACCAAGTGAACAATCAAGTGCACCATTATATCAAAAAAGGATGGGGGAAAATACATTTCAAGTTGACACAAAGTAACAACCACTTCAGCCTGCAAAGAATCTAACACATCTACATCAACAACTTTACTGCAAATAGCATTGAAAAAGAAACAAAGTTTTGTTATAGCTACCCTAACATGTTTGGATAAAACATCTCGAATAGCAATAGGTAACATTTGCTGCATTAATACATGACAATCATGAGACTTCATGCCAACCAATTTAAGGTCCTTCATTGACACAAGTTTTTTAATATTCGATGAATAACCGGAAGGGACCTTGACACCATTTAAACAAGCACAAAAACTTGGGGCCTGTTTACTTTAATTCTCAGTTTTCAATTCTCTATTTTCTATTCTCAATTTTCTATTCTGTGTTTTCTATTTTCTATTTTCAAAAACTGAATTGAAACTTGTTTTCTATTCCCAATTTCTAATTATATAAATAGCTAAGCCCACTGCCCACTAGCCCAAGACCCAAGTTGTTAAACAATATCTAAGCCCAATATCTATTCCTAATTCCCCAACCCCAAGTCTACAGACCACCGTCGCACAGACCGTTGTCCCGTCCTCGGCTTTTGCTTCTCGCCGACGATCCCTAGCTTCTGCTTCTCGTCGACGATTCCTCGCTTCTGCTTCTCGCCACCGATTCCTTGCTTCTGCTTCTCGATTCCACGAATTCACTCCACTGCTCTCCGTCTCCGGCCGACGACTTGACGCCCTCGCTCAGTCTCTCTGCTCCGGTTCTCCCGCCTCCCTCACGATCTCCAGCTGACGACCTCCCCAAGGCTTAGGAGTCAGGCCTCAACCCTCAGCCAGTTGCCCAGTCAGAGGTAAATTTTTTTAAATTCTATACTGTAAGCCAATCGTAGACGGTGGAAGTAGCAGTAGAGAAGAAGAGGAAGACTGACAATGCTTTGATTTGAGGAAGAAAAAATAGTGACTGGAGAGGATGAGAGCGACTGGAGAAGTTCCTGACGAAGAAATAAGAAAATTGCGAAAAAAAAAGATGTGGCTAGGATTCGATACACTACAACTTTACTGTTCACCCGTGTGTTTTCTAATTAGAGAACATATTTTCAGCGTGTCTCTGATTTCTTCATAAATGGAGAACAATTCTCAGTTTTGGAAATGGGAACAAAGTATGTTAAACGCCGTGCACTGTTTTCAATTTTTAATTTTTAGAAATTTTTTAAAATTCTCAGTTAGTAAACACGCCAGAAAATTTTTTGGAAAATTTCTGGAAATTCCCTGTTAGTAAACACCCCCTTGTTTTCTCTTTTTTGGACAAAGTATGACAAGCTGGAGGTAAGTATGTCCGTTTTCCCGATTCTTCTGGTGCTAACTTCTCCCGTATTCCCATTTCAACCATATCCTTTCTAGCTTTAATACCATCTTTTGTCTTTCCCTGAATGTTCAACAATGTTCTAATAATTCTGTCATAAACATTCTTCTCAATATGCATTACATCAAGACAATGTCTAACAGCTATGCTTCCAGTATGGTAGATCCCAAAATATAGACCTCTTCTTCCATAGAGTCTTCTGAGTAGTCTTACACGTTTTGCCGAAAGCAACATTAACATTTTTAACACGGTCATAAACCGCTAAACTAGACAAAGGCAAACGAGCTACTCCAGTCTCTGATTTTCCATTGAAATTTTTTTTCTTCTTTCGATAAGGATGATCAATTGGAAGAAATGCCCTATGACTCATGAACACATTCTGTTTACTGTTATTCAACCATAGATTGGCTGTTTCATCTTCACAAATAGGACATGCCTTAGCTCCTTTATTAGTATAACCCGATAGGTTACCATAGGCTGGAAAATCATTTATGGTGCAAAAGATCATTGCACGTAAGGTAAAACTTTCTCGAGTATAAGCATCATACACCGACACACCTTCATTCCACAACATTTTTAAATCTTCAATAAGTGGCTCTAGATATACATCTATGTCATTTCCTGGTTGTTTAGGCCATGATATTAACAACGATAACATGATGTGTTTTCGCTTCATACACAACCAAGGTGGAAGATTGTAGACTACTAAAAGGATAGGCCAAGTACTGTGTCGACTACTCATGTTACCATGAGGATTCATTCCATCAGTACACAATCCAAGTCTAAGACTCCTGTTTTCAGTACCGAATTCAGGCCACCTCCTATTAATATTCCTCCATTGTGGTGAATCGGCTGGGTGTCTTAGTTTTCCATCGTCTTTTCTCCCAATAGCATGCCATTGCAAATTTTTTGCATCCCTTGGATTAGCAAACATGCGTTTAAATCTTGGTATTACAGGTAAATACCATAACACTTTGGCTGGTGGACCTTTCTTATTCTTTGGTTCATCACCAACATTTTTCCTTTTGTAACGCGATGACCCACACTTTGGACATACATGCAAGTCTTTGTATTCTTTCCAATACAATATACAATCATTTGGACATGCATGTATCCTCTCAATTTTCATACCCAACGGACAAAACAACTTCTTTGCTTCATAAGTTGAATTTGGAAGTTCATTATCATTAGGAAGCATGTCTTTTATTAGTTCTAATAATCCCATGAAACTCTTATCACTCCATCCATTCTTTGCTTTTAAATTATATAATTTAAGCACACCAGATAACTTAGTATATTTGGCACACCCAGAAAACAAAGGTTTTTCAGCATTCTCAAACAAACATTTAAATTCAGGAGGCATTTCACTACAATCTCCCTGCATATCACACATCATTTCATATATTCGGTCTTTAATTCCATCATCCTCATCATTCTCCTCGTTATCTGCCTGAGTTCGACTATTTGCTTCAGTTTCACTCTTTGCATGAGTTTGACTATCTGCATGAGCTTCATTCTTACTAACACTTGTACTAGGAGGTAAGCTTTCACCATGCCATATCCATCAATCGTACCCTTCCTTAAAGCCACGGCGTATTAAATGGATTTTCACTTCTTCAGAACTACGATATCTTTTCAAATTTTTACAATTACAACACGGGCACGATATAAAATCTTTGGCCTTTTGACTTTTATTTTTTTCAGCACATTCTATAAACTCTTGAACCCCTTGTATATATTTGAATGTAGTGCGTTTTTCATACATCCAACTCCGATCCATATCTGTCAATTATAGTACTATGAAATACCATTTATTTCATATACTTAGAAATAATACTATTTTTATATTTGTGTCACTAATATTAAGATTTGACACCTTAAATTAACATTATTAGATCAAATAGAGAGGATTTAGTATTATTATTGTCAATGAGAGTGGTCATTAGCTATTGTATATACACTTAGAATACATATATGCTATTGTCTAGTATGTATGTAGAATACATATAATATATAGAGTTAATACCAAGTTATAGTTGCCATGAATAATTGATCTGGGTATTATATTAATAATACCCTATCTTTCTTTAGTGGGACTCTTTATTTCTACCCAATTTATGTTTTAGTGGGCTTTTCCTAGTAACACCTAATATGATGATTGGTTTATTAGCTTGATAAATGTGGCTTCTCTAATTCTGTGCCTTGGTGGATTTTGCTTCATTTTCAGCTAAATTTGCTAGTGGGGTTCATTTTATTTCTGTTAGACTTATTTCATAGATATCTTCTTTTTTAGCTTAGCAGTTATTAGGATCCACATGTAGGGCCTTTTGACTGGTGGACATATGGGGTAGTTCTATCCAACTTGTATCATTATTGTCAGTATAGTTTGGCATGAGGAAAGACCCAAAACTTGTTTGACCTAATCTATAAGGTGACTGAATTGGTTCCTGATTGGATTAGAATCCTAAATTCACAGGAATGGTGTGCCCATATTGAATGATTCTACATTATACCCATTACTGTGCCCAATGGTCCTTTACATTCTGTAACCAACCACCTCCTCCTTTTAAGTTAGGGAGTCTTCACAGAAATAATAAGGTAGCCAACTCCCTACCTCATCTTATGACCACCTTCTAACTTTCTTTTTATTTTCTTCTCTTTTTGGTCCTTTCTCTGATCATTGGGCTCTTTTTTAAAATGAACTTTCTTGTGATACCAAGTCATGTCTGTACTATGTTCTGAACTTAATGGATTCATATCCAGACTTTAACAAACTAGTAAAACAAGTTTAACATTGGTTGGTAGAAATGCAATTTGTTAATGATGGCTTTCATTTAAAATTGTTTACTTGAACTTAATAATGTAATAGTATTGGTTGTATCTGTGCCATCAAATCCCTCTTTAATGTGATGGTATTTCTCATTAATTGCCCCCACTATCCTTTCTTACTTAGTGGCCTAATTCAAGGGGAAAGAAAAGATCATCTTTTTGTTGGGTGACTGTCCTTCCTAATACTCATGGAGTCTATAGAAAAGGATATAATGAAGATAAGTTACGTACATCATTAGAAATTATAAAGGTTCCTTTATTAAATTTTTGTAGCACCCAGAAAGTATTGTTAATCATCATATTATTAATATATGGATATATGGATATACCACATAGCTTCCCCTGTCATTCAATCTCAAGATGTTTCTTTTCAATCTTGACTACAGTACAATATTTACTTATCATATTAAAAGAAAAAAAAATTAGCAACCTATTTGTCTCTTCATTTTTAACCTAAAGCATTCATTTTTGTTAAGCTCAGATTTAGTGCAGAATTAATTGAAACGTGATGTCTAGCTCTGGATATTTTCATTAACTGTATAGCTTCACATCATGAACATCAAATTCAATGTTCAAGCTTCAAGGGAATCAAGACTAGAAATCATCTCAGAAATAAATGTTTAAGCTAGAAATCAAGGAGAGGAGATCGGAACTGTGAGTACCTTCGTCGACAGGAAAGGAGATCGGATCTGTGGTCCGTCGAGGAGCTACGGATGGCGGAGCAGTGCAGCAGGCGAGGCGGCAAGGCTGTGTTCCATTAGAGATTTGGAGGAGAATCCACTAAATGTGTTGGCCGTCGTGGCTGTCTGAGGGAGGCAAGGGGACGGAGGCGGCGAGATGGAGAGCCCGCGCCGAACAGACGACGGAGAGCTTATGCGCGATGATGGCGAGTTAATTTTCAAATCTACTGTGGCTATCCAAGGGTTAAATTGTAGTTGTGGAGTTATTTTTGGGTGGGAATCCGGGGCTCCGGTCTAGGCCGGTGCCTCGGATTCCAATATTATTATAATAATAGTATTGGAACCCGCAGCTCCCTTTCCTAGTGGGTGCTGCGGATTCCAATATTATAATAATAATAATAATAATAATAATATTATATCCGCGGCAACCGCTTAGGGGTGTGCCGCGGATTCTAATATTATTATTATTATTATTATAATATTATATCCGCGGCACCCATTTTTAAGTGGGTGACGCGGATTCGCATATTATTATTATAATAATAAAATTTCTGAGGCACCTCTTTGTAATTGGTGCCTCGGAAAGTTCTCCCTTTTTCTATCCAAGACACCTTCACCTTGAAGGTGTAGAGTGCAAAGTACTACTTATATTTCCAATTCTATAGTAGTGGCATAAGTAATATTTCATTTATCGGGGCTTAATATTTCGTACATATCCATGCAAGTTTATTTCTTATCTGATTAATATCCTTTATTCTTGCATGATCATTTGAAAACCCACTTCGTGTAAATTTGTTAGCTTATCTATTTGGGTTTCGTAGTTGCAACATCCGCATGCGAGCTAAAATTTACATACATATTATTTGATATATTCCAAAACATATCTAACGTATTGCATGCGATATATCTCTCTATTTTTACGTAGCATTCGACTGTTCCATATTTTCCGTTGTGCACTTTGAGTAGAATAAATCTATTTTTAGACCGTTGCGAGATACCATACCAACACCTTTGGTTGTGCCATATCGATCATTTCCACCAAATACAACTTTTGGTCCTTTGATATTTTTAAAGTCCACAAGACTAGATTTATTTCCAGTCATGTGACGAGAACATCCACTATCGAAGTACCAAATTTCTTGAAAGTAAGTTACACATTTTTAGGTACCCAACATGATTTGGGTCCTTGGGTGTTGGTCATTTTTGGTACCCAAATCCACCTAGTTCTTACTGAACCAAGATTAGGCGATTCGTAACCATTAAACACTTTATAATCATAACTGATTTTCAAAAATGATTTTGGTGCCGGGTTTTGAAAATTGACTCTATTCTTTGGCACTTGGGAAGAAGATTGTTTGAGCCTATGAAATGCATTAAACCTAGACTTAGTCCATGGTTTAATTTCATCAAACCAATCTTGTTCAGAGGGATAAAGTCTCCCTGCCCCAATCCTTGGAGATCTTCACATTCTCCTATGAGGACTTTGTGCACTTGACTCATTGGCATATTTCCAAAACTTTTGCCTATTATTTGACTGCATTGGCGAATTAAATTATCTTTGTGGCTTCGGCTTTGCAGTAACATTTTTGGCATTAGTTTGATAACCAATTCCTTGTCTCATTGTGCTATCTTGACCTTTTACAAATTTTACTACTTGGACTTTATTAGTTAAAGCAGTAGTAGAATTTGTCATTTTTTTGGAGGTTTGCGAACATGACGGATCGTAGCCAAGTCCGGCTTTATCACTTGGGTTTTTTTTTTTTTTTTTTTTTTTTGCATATTTATCATTTTATCCATTATTTTGGATGAATAAGTAAATGTGGCTATAACCTCTCTTAGGTTGTGTTCTCGAACTTCCCTTGATTTACACTCTTCTTGAAGTCGAATATTTACGACTTTCAAGTCCCGTATCTCGGATAGAGCATTTTGCAATTTTTCATTTAATTAATCTTTTTTGAGAATCAATAAATTATTGCGCTCTTTGATTTGTGAGTGAGTGTCCATCATGGTTTGACAATCTTTCATTAAGTGAAAGATATACTCTTTAGAGAAAGATGAATTTACAGAGTCAAAAGATTTCGAAGATACCTCATCTTCATCTATCTCGTGCGCCATAAGACACATATCATGGTAGGATGATTCACTTGAAACACTTATGCAATATAATGCATTATTATCCTTCAGGTGTCACTTTCATCACTAGAAGATTCCTCAGTCTCTCTTGTCTCCAAAGGATTACTGATTAGAGCTTTCCTTTTGTCCTTTTTGAATTTTCTTTCTTTGACTTTGGTTTCTTCCTGCAAAGTGTCAGTTTAATTTTTTCTTACCTTGGGGTATGGACATTCAACCATAAAATGTCCAGGCTTTATACAGTTGTAGCACAAATTCGAATTGCCCTCCGTGGGATCCCTTCTATGCCTTCGAGATGTGATTGCCTTAGGAAAATTCTTGTGATTGTTTTTCCTCATAAATTTCTTGAAATTTCCTAACAAACAAGGCAAAGTTTTCGTCAAAAAATAAATCACTATTTTCTACCGACCTTGAGGAAGACGGTTGCTCGACTATGAGTGCATTGTTCTTTTCTTCATGATCTTCCTCCATCCTCGACCCCATCTCAAACTCATAAGCCTTTAGATCACTAAAAAGCTTATCAGTTGATAAATTCTTTAGATCTCTATGATCACGCATGACCGTAACTTTCATGTCCCAACTAGACAGTAGACCACGAAGGATTTTGAGCGAAATTTCTTTTTGATTAATGTCTTTTCCAAGATCATTAAACTTTCCCAAGATTTTAGCAAATCTTGTTTCCATGCAATGATATTTTCGCCACTTAGCATTTTGATATCCTCAAATTTCTTCAATGCGATGGTGAGTTTATTATCCTTTTCCTGTTCATCTCCTTCATCGATCTGAATAAGTGTTTCCCAAACCTCTTTTGCTGATTGGCATTTTCGAACTTTCGGAAATATCGTATCATCGATAGCTTTGAACAAAATATCATTGTCAATATTATCCAAGTTATTTCGTGTTCTATCTTCTTGAGTCCATTCCACTTTAGGCTTTGGAACATACTGTGGAGTATCACTACTCTGTACGTAAGCAGTGTTTACTTGCAGGATTTCAATAGGACCAATAGTGATTACTTCCCACATTTCATCATGTAGTGCAATAAATGTACCTGCATACGAATTTTCCAATCATCAAATTTTTCTAAGGAAAATAATACATTTTGGGCAAGAGCCATATGTGTCTTCATTTTGAAGTTTTGAGATCTGTCTAGCAGTCAAAATTGACTCAAATAGACAACCGCTCTAATACCAATTGTTGGTCCTGATAGGGTGGTAAAAAGTCTAGGGGGGGGGGGGTGAATAGACTTTTTAAACAATTTTAAATTTTATAGCACTCTTAATTTAAAATTGTTTAAAAAGTCTATTCACCCCCCTCCCTCTAGACTTTTTACCACCCTATTGGACCAACAACAACAACAACGAGTCGAGACTTAACCCGAGGGGTTGATTCTCAATGACTCGTAGCCGAAACGATAAAGAGATAGAAGTCAAAGACTCGAAGACGAAGACCAAGAGGTTGCTAAGACCGAGTCATGGAAGGGTCTACCTCTTGTGTATTAATCAAGACCGAATGACTAAGGAAGGTCATTCAAGGAGTTAAGGGATGATTGGTAAAGTCAATCAATCATATCCGAGAGGACACAAGGTTCGAGACGCTAACATAGTTAACGACTTGGTTGGACAACCATAACATTCTTTAGGCATCAATAGTTCTTAACCTTAAAATTCGAATTGATATATCCTAAGACAAAGTGAGTCCTAGGAACATATCCCAAGGCAGATTTCACATAAAATGCCATGGTGACGTGTGCAGATAAAAAGCAAGTCATTAGCGCATTTTATGGAGTCAAACAGCTAGAAATCTGGCAATTCTTGTACCTCTCTGGATTACCCTTCGGTTCTTACCCACTAGTCCATAGGCAATATGAAAATTTGTTATTTTCTTCCAACAGAACAATTTTTCAAGCCTATAAATACCATCTTCTTGTACAGAAGAAAGTGCTGGTCATTCTAAGTTTTCAAAGTGAGAAAAATGCTAAAAGTTTTCTAAAGTTCTAGCGACCAGTGTGAGAGACAAAAGCTTCAAAGTTTCATCCACATTTGTGAAGTCTTGAGCTTCTTCAACGATCAAATTCCAATCTTTTTATTCTTCATCTTATATTCTGTACTTGGAATAAGTAGAAAGAGGCAAAGTAAACTCGTGTTGAGTTAACAAACCTGGGTTCAAAGTTCACGTCCGACTTTGTGTTCAAGGAGTGATTTTGGTGTTGTGGTTATTGTACTAAGAAGATTTAGTACAATCCTTCACACTCATATTTTATACACTAATACACATTGCAACATAGGGACAATCCTCCCGTTCATCTTTAATTGATTGTTATTTGCATACTCGCTCTCTCTCACTTTTACTCTCAATCTACTTGCATCAATGCTTTTCTTGAACTTGTATATGACAAGCTTTAAATACACTCACTAGCATTCTCTTAATGCTTCCAAATTTATCATCCTTGTGAGAACGATACTCAGGGATTCCATCTCGATTTTATTTTTCCCTCCGTACACACCCACACTAAACTACACTTTCACAAACCAATCTTAATATTTTACAAGAACACTTGAGTGCAAACTAAAACTTAAAAAGAGTTATAAATATTTTCGCTGTGCATTAAACTATAAACATTTAGTTAAGGATATCCTTCGGATAGACTTAGCTATTTGCGAAGAAATTTTCAAATATAGTGAGTCTATTTACATCCCCCTCTAGAATCACTCCCTAAACCTACCGGGACCAACACACACAGCAGCCCAAGGAAAAGATGCACTCGAGTACGTGCTAAAGCCCAAAACATGCATGGACATTGGAAGACCGTACTAGGAACAACTTGGATAATATAACTAAGGATATTCTATTCAAGACGGTCGACGAGACGTTGTTTCCAAGGATAAGAAAATGCAAATTTGCCAAAGAGATTTGGACCATCCTCATGCAGATTGGAGAAGGAGGCGAACGAGAGAAGGAGAACAAGCTCACCATAGCTATGAAGAAGTTCGAGGACTTCCGAATGGCTAACAGTGAAAGCATAGCCGAGATGGAGACTTGGTTCATGAATTTTGGCACTAAAACAAAAAGGGTGACCAGCGTGATCAATTTTAGCGCTAAAACAATAGTCGTGAATGAAAATTGGTATTAAAATAATAATTTAGGATGAAAATTGGTAAGAATTAAACATGTGAACCAAAATTATCATTTTGTTAATACTCGTGGAACCAAAATTAGTATTTGCTCAATTGAGTCAATACAAATCTACCAAATGAGAGAAGAATTAAAAAAAAAAAAATAGAAGAAGAAAATATTAGGTGAACAAATACGGATCCGTATTAGTTAAAAAAAAAAAACAATGTATAAATAAATAAATAGAGTTTGGCACGTGTAACTTTGAAAACTACGGTAGTCAAAGTCGGGAAAGAAACTTAACGGAATGTGGCATCGGTGTGTCCACCTCTCTCCGTTCCAGTTGAGAAGGAAAGAAGAAAGGAGAGGGCCACAAGAAGCCACGTTGACTCACCCACCACACAATCCCACACAGCCAATGCCCGTTTCTTCCCCAGTCCCCAGATAGCGACTCTCTGCAACCTCTCAGCCCAGTTCTTGTGTCTCCGCGGGCCCCTTTTTCCCGTTAAAAATCTGGGTATCAGATTCCAACTCTTCTTTTTCTTCCTCTAGGTTTTTTTTGAAAGTTGTGGCCGGAGAAAGCTTAAATACCCGGTGAGGGGGGTCGGGTATGCGCTAAAGACTGGGGAAATGGAAGCATCGTGCGTGTTCTGCGGCGGCGCATCGAGCTTCCTCGGTATAAGGGTGCGGCGTCAGAGGGATTCCCTTCATTCTTCTTTCTTTGCTTCTGTTACTCCGTTCGGCGGGAACAGTAGCTTCTCTCGTGGCGGCGGCTCCATCTTGTTCGCGTCGCCTTTGCCGCATTGCCGCTTCCAGGTCGCGAACTCCAATGGCGGAGGCACCAAGGCCGTCCGTACTGCCAAACGGAAAAGCCGCAAGTCCGGGGGAAGTAGTGGGCCAGGACCCGGACCCGTTGAGACTTCTCAGAATTTGAAAAATTCCCCAGTGAGCTCGTCGGTTGAGTTTGAACGGCAAGGACGAAGGAAGCCGGCGCTAACAAGGAAAAATACGAACACGCCGGCTAACGTCGCCGCACTGTACCAAAGCGGCGACCCGCTGGGACGGAGGGATCTCGGCAAGTGCGTGGTGACGTGGATTAGTCAAGGTATGAAAGCCATGGCTATAGATTTTGCTACGGCGGAGGTTCAGGGGGAGGGCGAATTCTCGGAGCTCCGGCAGCAAATGGGGCCAGGTCTGACCTTCGTTATTCAGGCGCAGCCTTACCTCAACGCCGTGCCGATGCCGCTAGGCCTGGAGGCCATCTGCTTGAAAACCTGCACCCATTACCCTACCCTCTTCGACCATTTCCAGCGGGAGCTCAGGGATGTTCTCAAGGACCTTCAGAGCAAGTCTTTGGTTCAAGATTGGCGGGAAACCGAGTCATGGAAGCTTCTCAAGGAACTCGCTTGTTCAGGTGCGTGCTAATTCTTTCGAGTTCAGCCCTTCTGGATTCGATTCGAGACCTGTTTTTGACAATTGAAGCATTGCTCTATCTCAACTCAACACAGTCCCATCACCCATCACGTGTGCGGTGGGTTTCAAGCTTTCAAGCAACACGTGACACGTAGAGATTCGAACCATGACCTTTGATCCTGTGCTCCATCTCAACTAAAAGCGTAAGCTAATAGTTGGATTGCACATTAATGGTTAAAAGCGTAAGCTAATAGTTGGATTGCACATTAATGGTTATATGCTCAACATTGACATGTGATTAAATTGTTAATGTTCTCACCTACTTATAACTAATTGATGACAACTAGATAACCAAATAATTGTGTGGTTAAACATGCTTGACATACTGGTCTATAGGACTGTGTCACTTTGAAAGTTGTGTTTTGGATTTTCATATTGTCTAGAATTTCCATGACCTTGCATTGTTTCCCTACAGCTCAACACAAAGCAATTGCAAGAAAGATTTCTGAGCCGAAACCTATACAAGGTGTCTTGGGAATGGACATTGATAAGGCAAAGGCAATTCAAAGCAGGATAGATGATTTCACTGAGCAGATGTCTGCTCTCCTTCGAATTGAAAGGGATGCTGAATTGGAGTTCACACAGGAGGAGCTGAATGCTGTTCCCACACCAGCTGAAGAAAATTCAAAACCCTCGAAGCCGATTGAATTCTTGGTTAGCCATGCCCAACCTGAGCAGGAACTGTGTGACACTATCTGCAATCTCCATGCTGTTAGCACGTCCACAGGTCATATTACTTTCTCTCTTAAAGTTTTGCATTATTGGCTAATTGTTTGTATAATAAATAACATGGCTTCCCGTTTGTTGCCATAGGATTGGGCGGAATGCATTTAGTGTTGTTCAAAGTGGACGGAAATCACAGATTGCCACCCACTAACCTTTCCCCTGGGGACATGGTTTGTGTGAGGACTTGTGACAGTAGGGGAGCTGGTGCTACTTCTTGCATGCAAGGGTTTGTTAATAACCTAGGAGAGGATGGTTGTAGCATTACCTTGGCCCTTGAATCCCTTCGTGGAGATCCTACTTTCTCAAAGCTCTTTGGGAAGAATGTGCGGATAGATCGCATTCAAGGATTGGCCGACACGCTCACATATGAGGTACTTAACAAAAAGTAGCTTCTGCTTATGTGTTTGCATGTGGCTACTCTATTGTTCTAGTTATTAAAGATGTAGATGAATGTTCTTTGTTCTCCATTCCAGAGTAATCCTAAAAGTCCTCTAGATTTTGTACTCCCTAAGGTCTAATGCCTTAGCTTCTAGTTTGGGAACTTTATTCTATTAATGAAATGTATGTTATAAATCACCTTCATCCTAGGAGAATGCTTTCATGAATAATCCATCTCTTCCCATTAACTTGTCACTTTTTAGATTTTTTTTAATCTCTTTTTGCATCTTCTGTTAGAATTCATGTTGGAGAGTCTGGATCTGTGTCCTTGTAGATTATTCCTTACTTGATGAGTTCCCCAAATAACATAACATGTCCCATTGGCAACTTTCTCTGGGAAGGAACAGATTTTGTGAGGTCTGACTGTCTGACTGAAAACTAATGGCTTCTTACAGTTTTGAAGTCCCAATAAGGATCAACCACCAGATTAGTGCCTTATGTGCAAGCAAGGAATCTGGTTTTCCACTTGTTTCTACATTATCCTTTCACTGGGAAACGAGAGGTTCCCTTGAAATTTCTGGTGAATCTTATGCAGTTCCTTGGAATTTTATTGAGCTCCTTTTCAAATTCCAAGCTTTTTGAACAAGAAGAGGAAAAAATTGCCTGAAACTTGTTAATGTTGGGATTTGTTGCATCATTTTGTTTGAGGGCAGTGCATAGATGTTTGAACACAAATGCATGCCCTCAGGCTGTTAGTGGCAGAAGACGGCCATCCTTCTTGTTTTTGGCTTTTAACTGTTCCTAAGTGAGCTTGAAGAACTTTGCTTCCTGAAACTTTTCCCTATAATTATACATTTACTTTTATTGAGTATCATCTGTCACTGAAAGAAAAGCCTATTCTTGATCTGTTGCATTAACCCTTCTCATTTTCGTCTCACCGTTCTATTTTGGGCAGCGTAATTGTGAGGCCTTGATGATGCTTAAGAAGAAAGGGTTACAGAAGAAAAACCCTTCAATAGCTGTCGTGGCTACACTTTTTGGAGACCAAGAAGATGTTGCATGGCTGGAGAAGAATGATTTGGCAGATTGGGCTGGAGTGGAATTAGATGCATCAATTGACAGCAAAGGTTATGACATCTCCCAGAGAAGGGCAATTGCATTAGGTTTGAATAAAAGGCGACCTATCCTGATTGTACAAGGGCCTCCAGGCACAGGGAAGACAGGTTTGCTGAAGGAATTGATTTCACTTGCTGTTCAACAAGGTGAAAGGGTTCTTATAACAGCCCCTACAAATGCAGCTGTGGACAATATGGTAGAAAAACTGTCTGACGTTGCAATAAACATTGTTCGTTTTGGAAATCCTGCAAGGATATCCCCAGTAGTAAGTTCGAAATCTTTAACTGAGATTGTGAATACTAAACTTGCTGAGTTTCGGGCGGAGTTACATAGGAAGAAAACAGATCTGAGGAAGGACCTGAGACATTGTTTGAATGATGATTCTTTAGCAGCTGGCATACGTCAACTTCTGAAACAACTTGGAAAGTCCTTGAAGAAGAAGGAAAAGGAAACTGTAAGAGAAGTTTTGTCAAGTGCTCAGGTTGTGCTTGCAACTAATATAGGGGCAGCTGATCCACTAATTAGGCAGTTGGACACATTTGATTTGGTTATAATAGATGAAGCAGCTCAAGCAATTGAACCATCTTCTTGGATACCTATATTGCGGGGAAAGCGTTGTATTCTTGCAGGGGACCAGTTCCAGCTTGCTCCTGTGATCCTTTCTAGGAAAGCCCTAGAAGGAGGTCTTGGAATATCACTTCTAGAAAGAGCGGCATCTTTGCATGAAGGAATGCTCTCTACAAAACTAACCACACAGTACAGGATGAATGATGCCATAGCCAGCTGGGCTTCAAAGGAGATGTATGGTGGATCATTAAAATCTTTTCCTCAAGTTGCTTCTCATCTTCTTGTGGATTCCCCTTTTGTAAAGGTACGTACCAATTGGAACATCTTAATTTTCTTTTGCTGAGTTATTTATTTATTATTCTTTGTTTACCCCACTTGGAATTTCAATATTTCATTCTTAACAGATACATCAGATCATAAATAATAATTAGCCCAAGAGCTTCAGTTTTAATTTTTGAATGCTTGATTTCAATATTTGATGTGATTGTATTTTTCTAACAACTAAATCAGACTATAGGAGAAAATGATGGCCAAAACCTCATTAGTATTTTAGAAACAACTTAAAAAGCTCAAATAGTAGAGGCGAGCTGCAAAATAAGAATATGATTGAGATAATGACTGTAATGTTGTTGTGACAGCCCACATGGATAACTCGGTGCCCACTGCTATTGCTTGATACAAGGATGCCCTATGGAAGTTTATCTACTGGTTGTGAAGAGCATTTAGACCCAGCTGGTACTGGTTCCTTTTACAATGAAGGGGAAGCAGACATTGTTGTTAAACACGTCCTGTCTCTAGTTTATTCTGGTAATTTGTACTTCCCCTTTTAACCTTTTAAAATGCAGTGCTGCTGTATCTTTAATTTGCTATATCATTCAATGCTTTTCCTTGATGAACTGAATGCACTAAACTATTGCATTCTGTCAATTGCTACTATACTATGGACTATGGTCTATGGTATATGGTTATTGTTTTAATTAGTTGATTTGTAAAAAGATGATTTACTGAAAAGGGAATCAAGTGCATTCATAAAATAAAAAGTATTACCTAGCATGTTGAGGGAGCGAGCATGTTTTTGTTTGTCATCTCCACTTTTCATTGCAATTTTGGTGGTGTGCATGTTTTACTACAGGTGTTAGTCCTGTAGCCATTGCTGTGCAATCTCCATATGTTGCTCAAGTGCAGCTACTGAGAGACAGGCTTGATGAAATCCCAGTGACCACAGGTGTTGAGGTTGCGACTATTGACAGCTTTCAAGGCCGTGAAGCAGATGCAGTGATCATATCAATGGTAAGAAGCTGAATAGAGAGAGGACCATGCGTTTTATGTTAAGAATTTTTTTGCAGAACACACACTCACACGCTGTATTTGTTTCAGGTTCGTTCAAACAATATGGGAGCGGTGGGGTTCTTGGGTGACAGCCGAAGAATGAATGTTGCCATAACAAGAGCACGCAAGCATGTAGCAGTGGTGTGTGACAGCTCCACCATATGCCACAACACCTTTTTGGCGAGGTTGCTGCGCCATATTAGATATTTTGGTCATGTGAAGAACGCAGAACCTGGCAGTTTCGGAGGATTTGGCCTTGGCATGGATCCCATGTTGCCTACTGCAAATTAAGCTCGCAGGTGTTACAATCAAGTTTCTTTTATTCACACACTTGAACATGGAGGACAACTCTCAGTGATTTTTTTCCAAAAGCAACACATACTCATTATTGTTTATTGTATATAATAACTCAAAGAAATTCCACAACAGTGTAAATATTCTCTATTCCTTTTTAAGAAACAAAATGAAAAGCACAGGTTTTTACTTTGAGACTCTCAATATCATAGCTGAAAAAATATTTTTTTTAAATCAGTTCATGAATTATAGTGTAACTAAAATTGGAGGAATTCTTGAAAAATTAGTTCATTCAAACAAGTATTGCTTGATAAAATGAATTAGGGACTAAGATAGCTGTGCCTAAACATGATCATTTGTTTCCTGTTGCTTCTGTGGGTGTTTTGGTGGTCATCTGGTCAACAGCATGCACAGTTTGCTGAAGTTCTTCCCATATGGCTTTGTATACCATCCTCTGTCTGTTCACAGCAGATTGCCCCTCAAATGCGGAAGAGACAACATCAATACTGCAATAACCAGTCACGCAAGGAAGTAAAGATAAATTAGTTAAGATATCATTAGCATGACACGAAGTTAATGTCTGTTCATGAAGAGCATTTAAATGGCACATATGCATCCAGTGTATATATTAGAACTTGTAATTGAATACCTCACCTGACATGCCGACCATCACCAGAAAGATCATTGACTGTAACTGATTCTGCATTTAGTTGTTCTTTGATCTGTTAATACCAATTTCAAAAACACTTGAACCGTTACTGACACGGATTTAATCTTCTTCAATTAAGAAGCAAGAAAACCACTGAACATCAGAAGCTGCTATTCCACTTGCAGAGCTAAATCATTATACTTTTAAAATATAAAAATGAAATCCAATAAACCCTGCAGAACCAACCACTTCTCTCTAATCAGAGACAGCACCTTTCCATAGTTTCCATCATTCTGAACCCTGATTTTAAGTGGTACAGCAATAGATGGACTATTTCAGAAATTACCAGTCTTTCTTAAAAGGATAAGCACCCACCCCACCACCAGAAGATGCCCAAGTGTCCTTATAAACCCCACCTGTTAATTTCTGTCAAATCTCTGTACCAATGGTTAAGAGATCTCTGCTTTTTCTTTTGTAAGTAGATCTCCATTTTATTTTTGATGTATAGAGGATCCTTGAATACAAACAAAAGGAAAAGCACCCAATAGTTGATCATAGCCTTGGTTCAAAACCTCAAATCTTCGTGTAAACTGTTTGCACATTTCTCTGGTAGGTTTTATTGGGTTCAAAGTTCAAACCTATGTCCCCACTTCCCACCACCCTGGAAGCATATAATTTACCGTTATACAAACCAATTATGGTTAATGGAAGCAAAACCATATCTACTTTAAACTAAAAAAGAATAGTCAGTGAAAGCAGAGATACCTTCATGTTTCCACGGATATCACACCTAGGAAGACATTAAGGGGAGAGGAAAAGAAGAGAAGTTCATAAAACCGAAAGGTAAGTACTAGGTAAAAAACCTAGGCACAAAGTTAAGGCTTTTGCAGAATGCAGTGCATGAACCCATGCAAGAAGGGTCTGGGCAAACTTTCAAGAGTAAAAAGTGCACAAAAGTTATGAGGCCTCCATCACTTTAAGTGCAAAGTGCAAAGAGAAGTGATTGGCTGCTTGCTTTTTTCAAAGATGGTGCAAAACAATTTTTAATAGCTTGGTTAGGCATATATAATTCATAACGATGTGTTCATGCTTGATTATGCAGAGCTATTTTTATGCACAACGATGCTGCAAATCCATATTTCCATGCCAATAAACTGAACACAGTGCATTGATAGGCTTCACTTTGGTTCCATAGCCCTACCTCAGATCATGATTCTTAAATGGTTCAGATGTTTATATTGTTTTGGTACTGGCTTCAATACTTTCAATTTTGTAGGGCCAAAGAACCTGGAGAATTTAAACGGTAGAAAAAGAGGGGGAAGCTAATCACTGAAGTTCAGGAAAAAAACCAAAAATTATTGTAGCAAAAGACTTAACACGAAAGTCACGTTGAATCAGAGTCCAGGAATCAGAAGGTGAAATTGGGGGATTGGGAGGGGACAATTAATCAATGGAGAAACAGCGAAAAAAACAAGAACCACTCTGCCCATTACCATACCTAGTTCCGATTTAATCACTGTAGCAGAATAACAGAATGTGATTTGGTAGTTTGGCCAGCATCCCTTTTTGTTTCCAAGATAGGGTAAGAAAACACCATTTCATAGTGAAATTATTTAGGGTTCCTAATAATCTTTCCAGTTCCTCATTGAATTATATGTGTCATACCTTGCAAAAAACCACAATTTCTACCTATCCGTCAGCTCCAAATGCCTCTAATAAACAGCACCCTTTATAAATATTAAATAACCTGTTCTCTTTACTAGTCCTCTCAATAAAATGAAAGGGCCAACCCAATTACGCAAATATACATGTTTCTTACATGGTACACACATCCACTTTCAATATTTTATCAATTCACATTAGTATGTCTTTTTTCTCTTCTTGTTACTTATAATTACACTTCAATCATTGGTACACACCAAAGCCTACAACAAAATCGTTGACTAATTCAACTGTTTTAAACAGATAAAATAGCACATCCATTTCTTGCAAGGATTACTGAATTTAGCAACTTCCAACTGAAACTAGTAGAGCGTATGCAAAGAACCCATATAAATATAGTTGTAAAGATTGAAACTAAGTAAAACGTAATTAAAAAAAACAATAATAACACATAATAAAATATAGTATATCCTAGGGTATAAGAGAGTTGATTGATTGGACCTTGTTCTCCATGGACTGCATCAAAGGAGAATCGATTTGGCGGAAACCATTCTGGTCGGCAGTTGCTCGGGTACAGAAAGTCCGACGGCGAAGAAGTGAAGGAGCCGCCATCGCGCCGATTGGGGGAAGTAGCTTCTCCGACGCGAGCGTGCGTACTGCTAGGAGTTTAGTCGTCACTGGAACTGAAAATCGGAGGATATTGCTTGAAAAGTAGAACCGGGAGGCACAGAAGATGGCCATGTTGGGCCTTGTAAGCAACGATTTTGCCATTGTTAGCTAGATGATGAACTGCTTCTTAGCAATAGCTGCGCTGCCTTACCGAAGAAACAGATGAGGAAGAAATGACCGTGGTTACCTCGTGCTTGTTATATTCTTATGAATTAATTCCATTTTTTTTTATTCTAGATTTTTAGTTTTTTTTTTTTTTTTTTTTTTTTAGTTTTTTATTTATTTAATTTTGAATGGAAAAACTTCAATAAAATCAAGAGATTAAGGGGTGCTTACTAACTTGAAAAAATGGAGGATTTTTCAAAAAAATGAAAAAATTGAGAATGAAAAAAAAAAAAAAAAATTAGAGAAGTTGTTTACTAAATTTATGCTTCCAAATGCTTATTCCACTTCCATTCTCCAACTTTGTATATGTTTTTGGAGAGAAGAAAAATCACATTCTCCAAATGGAGATATGGAATAACACGTGTGAACAGTGGTATTTAAAGAAATCATTGGTTTGAACCCAGTTGAATACAATTTTTGCTTCCTTTTCTAGGGTTTAGTCCTTTTATTTTATTCCCATTGCACAGCAGCTTGAATACAATTTTTGCTTCCCCTTCTAGGGTTTAGTCCTCCTTTTATTTTCCCATCGCGCAGTAGCTTCTAAAGTCTGTCTTCCTCATCGCCATCTCCAGGCTTCAACATCACCTCACCTCCAGTCTTCCCCACCACCACACCTCTTTCTTGCTTTTCTTTTCCCCACGTCTCCAGCCTTCTTTCTTCGCGTACAACAAAGTGGTGCATAGTAACACTCTGTCAAGACGCACAATCACCCCGGTGACTCTACATTCTCCGGTGAACCTTGGCAACTCAACACGGACTCTCCAAAATCTTCCATAGGATCTTGTCCAAGTCCACAAGTAATTGTCTAAACCTATTTTATTTATTTTGACGAATGATATCTATTTTTCTTTTACTATTATAATTGATAATTAATGAATGATGTTTCAGTAGAATCTCAATTGTAAAATCACATTTAACAAAATACCACTTTAAAATGAGATTTTGAATGTTAACCCTCATTTTGAGGTTCAAATTGCAAAACTTCAAAATGAGGTTCAACATTCAGAACCTCATTTAGAGGTTCAGCAGAACCCCATTTTGAGGTTCTGGTTATAGAACCTCAAAATGAGGTTCTGATTTTAAAACCTCATTTTGAGGTTCCAGCATACCCTCATTTTGAGGTTCTGGTTATAGAAGCTCAAAATGAGGTTCTGATTTTAGACCTCATTTTGAGGTTCTACAACCAGAACCAATGAGATTCTGGTTATAGAACCTCAATGAGGTTCTGATTTTAGAACCTTATTTTGAGGTTCCAGCAGACCCTCATTTTGAGGTTTTAATTATAGAACCTCAAAATGAGGTTTTTATTGTAGAACTTTAAATTAATGTTTTACAATTTTCATTGCAGAGAAGAAAGTTTGTAATTAGAATTTCAAACTGTTTTGTATTTTATTTTTTTATGAATATTTGTTGAAAAGTTAATGAAAATTGTAGATGAGTAATTTACGGAATGACGAAGATGCAAAGTGGTTGGATAGTACCTTGGTCGTTTTTCTTGATATTGTATACGATAGGATCAAAAGGCATCCTATTGGACAACCTGTTTTTAAGTCCTCTTCTTGGAATGAAATCAGTCAAGAACTTAAAGAGAAAACAGGATGTGTTTATACTGGTGGACAGTTGAGTAGAAAGTATAACAGATGCAAGGATTTATATAAGCGCTTCTTAGAGGTGTTAAACCACACTGGGGTAACATTCAATACTGAAACAAATAAGGCTATAATAGATGATGAAGTATGGGAAAGTTTCTTCAAGGTATGAATTTTAGTTTTATAATAATAATATAATATTATATAGTACACTAATATAATAAAGATGACACTAATGATGCTTTTTTTTTTTTTTTTTTAATGTAGAAAAATAAGATCTACAGAACTCTATACAACCACGGTTGCAAACATTATGAGATGTATTATTTTATTTTTGGCAACAACTATGCTACTGGAGGCTTTACGAACCCTTCAACCCAACAACCAGTGAACTCCAATGAGGAAAGACAAAATGAAGATGACTTTTTGATGACTGATACGGACAATCTACCTAAAAGTTGTGGGAATAGTTCTAAGGGCAAACGGAGTGCAGATGAGATGACTGGTAGTGGTAAAATGAGTGTTAACAAGAATTGGAAAAAATCAAAGTGCTACTGCGTGGGCGTCGTACAACAGTATAATGACTGAAGATTTGCATGACAAAAGAGAGGAGCGAAAGGAAAAGAAACTTAGGCAGCAACGAGAAGAATCTGCGAGTGAAATGAGTACGGGAATGACCCATGTTGATAGTATGACGAGAAGTGTGCAAATTCTAAACACATTCTCAACTCTGAGCCCGGAAACTTATAATCAAGCTTTTGAAAAACTTGTCACGTCTGAAGCTCACCGAAATGATTTTATTGCAATGCCTGAAGATAGGCGATTGGTTTGGTTGCTTTCCCTCTAATCTGTATTGTATTAATTGTTGTTTGTATGATGAACACGTTCTTTATATTATGACTACTTATGTGATCAGAACTCCTATTAGTAGTTACAAATTGTTGTAGTAACTGTACTTTAGTATGTTGACATGTTGTATTATGACTACTCTAATTGTGTTTCAAATTATAATATGTTGAGTATGTGTTTATATTAATACGTGTTTGAATTTTTTACAATGTGTTAGACAGGTAATGTCAGATAACAATTCTGATATTTCTTATAGCTCAACAACTTATGGCAATGTGTATTATAACTCAACAACTGATGGGAATGACTCAACTAGTTCATACGACTCATATGAGGAGATGAAGAGACAAGTTGGGCACATGTTTGTCTTTGCTGCTGCATGTTTAGTAATGGAAAGTGTAGACAGGATGCCGTGTAGGAACTTTGCACTCACAGGTAACCAATACATGGGAGAATTATTATATGGACACCCTACAAGATGCTATGAACAATTAAGGGTGAAGCCACATTTGTTCTTTCTTCTGTGTAAGAGGTTGAAGGACATGGAATTGTTACAGGATACAAGAAATGTTAGTGCAGAAGAACAATTAGCTATGGGTCTTAATGTTTTATGCCAAATATGCACACAACGTATAGTGGCTGAAAGGTTTCAACATTCAACTGCAACTGTTCATAAATGTGTGAAGAGAACGGTACGAGCGCTTGTACGCTTAGGGAATGATATCATTAAGCCACAAAATAGAGGACCTGCTCAACCAGAAATCTTACGGAATCCAAAATGGTATCCTTATTTCGAGGTATCATCATCATCATTATTATTATTATTATTATTATTATTATTATTATTATTATTATTATTATTATTATTATTATTATTATTATTGTTATTGTTATTGTTATTGTTATTGTTATTGTTATTGTTATTGTTGTTGTTGTTGTTGTTGTTGTTGTTGTTATTGTTATTATTATTATTATTATTATTATTATTATTATTATTATTATTATTATTATTATTATTATCATCATCATCATCATCATCATCAAGCTTATTAAGGCGTCCCTAGGTGTCGGGGCGGTCAAGGCCGCCCGCCTAGTCCGCTCGCCTTGCCTAAAATTGGCGAGGCGAGCCTGGGCGTCGCCTAGGCGACGCCCTGGGACGCCTATGCCGGCTTCGACTCGGTTTCAACCCGGATCGAACCGGGTTTATGTTTTAAAAAAAAAAGAAGAAGAAATGCGCTGGAATTAAAACCCTAGGAGTAAGACTTAGTCTCAGCTTCGCATCTCTTTCGCAAATAGCAACTTCAACGTCTCTTTCGCAAATAGCAATTTCAACGTCTCTTTCCCGACTTCAAACTGACTGACCGGCGACTTCAACTGACGACCGGCGAGGCGGCGACGACTGCTGACTGGCGACCTCCTCCTGCTGCGACTTCCGGCGACCTCACAGGTAAACTTTCTTCTTTTTTCTTTTTTCTCTTCTTTTCTTCTCTTGTGTCTCTTACTCTGTAGTCATGTGTGTATAAGTCATACTGTATATATTTTAAATATAAGGCAGTGTGTGTAGACTGTGTACAGTGTGGTAGTGTGGGTGTGTGACACATGTTTTATTTATTTTTTATTTTTTTCTCCATATTCGTATGCTGTGTTTCATTATTTTCATATACTTTGGATGTGTGGCAGTTTGGTAGTTGCACTTTGGCAGTGTGGGTGTGTGAGATATTGTTTTTTTTTTTTTTTTTTTCTTTTTTCATATTGGTATGCTTGGCAGTGTAGCAGTGAGGCTGTGTTTCACATATGTTGTATATTTTTTATTTGTCAGGTTATGGAGGACGAAAGTACTTATGATCCATCAAAGGATCCTAAAAGAAAAGACAAGTCTAAAGACCCTGGTTGGAAGTATGGCTTTTGGCCAGATTAAGTAGAAAAGAATCGATCGAATGTACATTGTGTGGAGGAAAAATTAGCCAAGGCATTAAAAGATCGAAACAACACTTGGCTAAAGGGTATGGAGATGTTATTGCATGCCCAAATACAACAACAGAGATTATGAAAGAAATGCGAGAGTATATCTTAAAAAATTCAAGGAACAAGCAACTAAATTTGGATGACGATGATGGGGATGATGGTTCACAAGAAGTGTCAATGGAACCAACACAACCAGGACAACCATCATCTCAAGACTCAATTACTCATCCAAGTTCGGGGACTAGTTCTAAAAAGAGGCAGTCAGCTTTGAGGTTTGCACAACCGGCACAAAAAACAATTGCTGCAATGGTTAGGAAAACCCCAGAAGAAGTAGTGGAAGAAAGGCGTAGCAAGGGTTATCAAAGAACCCTTGAAGATTGTACAAGAACTAAAGAAGAGAAAGAGAGAACAGCAATGCATGTTGCAAACTGTTTCTATGAGTGTGGCATTCCCTTTAATGTCGCAAATGCTTGGAGTTTTGAGGTAATGTTAGAGTCCGTTGCACAATTAGGACCCGGGTGGAAACCTCCTAGCTATCATGATTTGTGGGTCACACTCTTAGAGAAAGCAAAAAAGGAAATAGATTTGTTGAAAGATAAACATAAGGTTTCTTAGAGGAGGAGGTATGGGTGTACTTTGATGTCAGATTGATGGACTGACAGAAGAAATAGACATTTGATAAACTTTCTTGTTAACAGTCCGGAGGGGACGTTTTTCTTGGAATCTATTGATGCATCAAGCGAATCCCATGATGCCAACATGTTGGCTAGGTTACTAGAGACCAAGATTCAAGAGATAGGCACAAAAAATGTTGTCCAAATTATGACAGATAATGGTGGTAATTACAAGGCAGCGGGCAAGTTGTTGGAAGATAAGATACCTACACTGTTTTGGACTCCTTGCGCGGCACATTGCTTGGACCTCATGTTGGAAGACATTGGCAAGTTAGTTGAGTTCAGGCAGAAGATTGAAAGTGCTAGGCGCATCACTACCTTCATATATAGGCACGGAGGGATCTTAAATGCTATGAGGGAGTTCACAGGTGGTAAGGATCTTGTGAGACCCGGAGTTACTAGATTTGCCACAGCCTTCCTTACCTTGCAGAGTTTGTACAAGCATCAGAAAGCTTTAAAAAGCTTGTTTGTTAGTGATCATTGGACTACTTCTGAACTAGCAAACACACAAGCTGGAAAGAAGATCTATGACTCTGTATTTTCTACTCGATTCTGGACTGGGGTGGAAGATTGCATTAATGCTTCTCAACCGATTCTTGTTGTATTGAGAATCGTAGATGGTGATGAGATCCCAGCTATGCCCAAGGTTGCTATGGCTATGACTACTGCAAGGAGGAAATAGAATGAAGCATTTGCAAGTCAATCGAGATTGCTGTCAAGGTTGATGGATATTGTGGATAGACGCTGGCAAGATCAGATTGGAGTTGACTTATATGGAGCAGCATTGTTTTTAAATCCTTCCCACTATTTTGAGTTGAAAGAAAGTGATAGTGAATATGCTTCTAAGCAACGGGCCATGTTTAATGAAGTGCTTGAGAAGATGGTTCCAGATCAAGAAACACAACTCAAAATAGCCAATCAAGTTGATGAGTATGATTATTTGCGAGGAAGTTTTGGGAAGCAATTAGCCATCTCAAAAACAAAACTCCTCGTAAGTATTATTTAAAGTTTTAAACTACAACAAGTTTGAACTTTAAACAATTTCTAGCTTTATACTTTTGAATTTTGATAAACTAATTTACTAAGTATGATATGTATTCATATTTTAGTTGATTGGTGGATGGATTTTGGAGGCAATCATTTTAAGCTCCAAAAATTAGCAATGCGCATTATTTCTCTCTGTTGTTCATCTGCCGCTTGTGAACGTAACTGGAGCACCTTTGAGTTGTAAGTACTTACTACTTAGTACTAAATAATAGACTAATACTGTTATTTGTTTCTAAGTTACTAAAGTAGTAATTATTTTTTATTTTCTTTGATTTAGATTCACACAAAGAGAAAAAACTGATTAGAACATAAACGGTTGAATGACTTGGTTTATGTCAAGTATAACCGGAAGATTGCTAGTCGGTTTCAAAAGCAGCGTGAAGAAGGAACAAACTTCAACCCATTAGTTCTTGAAGAATTTCAATGGAAAAATGAATGGGTGGATGGTAGTAATCATAATGATAATGTTCATGTCGGTGAAGACCTCACTTGGAGTCTTGTTGATGAGGTGCTTGGTGCTTCAGCGAATTTCGAGGGAAGAAATCTTCTTACAAGAGCTCATGCAGGTAATGCAGGTGAAGGCACGAGTGCACCTATACAATATTCCCGACGTCGCAATACTTCATCAGTGGGAGGTTTGAGGGATGAAGTAGATGATGAAGATCCTTTCCCAAATGATGATGAAGATATTGATGATGATGAAGAAGATGAGGGAATTGAGAGTGATGACGATAATGATGGTGGCGAAGGGTGCGGGATTGAATTAATGGATGTTTAAGACTTGGGAGTTTGAGAATTGAGACATTGGATATTTAGTATCATAGTATTGTGTGAATGTGTGATGTTGGTTCTTGACTTTGAATTAAATGTTTAAATTAGTGCATATTTAGACAATTTAGTATATATCTTATATATTATATATTATATATTATTCATCGCCTAGTTGTCGCCCAGGCAGCTAAGCGGCCTAGTCGACTATATGGGGGGATTGTAATCAATGATGTTCTTGTTTTGTATCTAAACTATGTGTAATGATTGAAACAATTACAATTTATTTAGTAATATACTTTTATTAACTTTCGTTAGTTTTACACATTTAGTATTAATTTATTGAATTTTTTTATTTAAAAATTGAATTTGTAAAATGAAATTTAAAAAAATTTGGAGAAATAGAAAACTAGAGAAATGGAGAATGGAAAACTGGAGAAATGGAGAAATGGAAAATTGAAAATGGAAAAACAGAGAAACGAAGTAAACAACCCCTAAGGGGTCGTTTACTAACTTGGAAAAATGGAGGATTTTCCAGAAAAATAGAAAAATTGAGAATGGAAAAAATAAAAATTGGAGAAGTTCTTTACTAAATTCATGCTTCCAAATGCTTATTCCACCTCCATTCTCCAACTTTGTATATG